ATATCTGTCAAATGTCCACCTGTGAGTAACCATAATCTGACTATGTGTCATTCTCTAGAGTAAAACTGAATGTTTTACTAGACTGGAAAACTAAAACCAGAGTGGCTAGTTTAGCTCATAACTCAAATAATTATCATTCATGTTCTTCTCCTCAGAACAATCATTTTGCATGCAGCAGAGGTGCTTGTCACATAGCATATTACAGTGACTACAAAGACTACAACAGAGAATATTTTTTTAATGTATACTCCAAAGTTTAGATAAAATTCATCATCTTGCTGTTTCACTAATTATCTTAAGTGAAACTGTCCTTTTTTTCCATTTCAAGTATATTACGGTTAAAAATATGACAATTACTAGGACATTGAGGTGCCACTGCTTTGATCGTCACTAAGGCACCTATATATTGCACGAATATAGAGCAATATTGCATAGGAACCTGGAATGTTAGGTCCATGAATCAAATTGGAAGTGGTCAAACATGAGATGGCAAGAGTAAATGTCGACATTTTAGCAATCAGCGAACTAAAATGCACTGGAATGGGTGAATTTAACTCAGACGACCATTATATCTACTACCGTGGGCAAGAATCCCTTGGAAGAAGTGGAGTAGCCATCATAGTCAACAAAAGAGTCCAAAATGCAGTACTTGAATGCAATCTCATGAATGACAGAATGATCTCTGTTCGTTTCCAAAACAAATCATTCAATATCATGGTAATTCAAGTCTATGCCCCAACCAGTAATGCTGAAGAAGCTGAAGTTGAATGGTTCTATGAAGACCTACAAGACCTTTTAGAACTAACACCCAAAAAAGATGCCCTTTTCTTTATAGGGTCCTGGAATGCAAACGTAGGAATTTAAGAAACACCTAGCTGTTGTTTCTTAGCTGTTGCAGCTAAGAAACACTTAGCTGCTGCTAAGTTGCTTCAGTCATGTCCGACTCTGTGAGACCCCATGGACTGTAGCCCACCAGGCTCCCGCGTCTCTGGGATTCTCCAGGCCAGAACACTGGAGTGGGTTGCCATTTCCTTCTCCAATGCATGAAAGTGAAGAGTGAAAGTAAAGTCTCCCAGTTGTGTCCAACTCCTAGCGACCCCATGGACTACAGCCTACCAGGTTCCTCCGTCCATGGGATTTTCCAGGCAAGAGTACTGCAGTGGGTTGCCATTGCCTTCTCCACTAGAAACACCTAGAGTAACAGGCAAATTTGGCCTTGGAGTACAGAACGAAGCAGCGTAAAGGCTAATAGAGTTTTGCCAAGAGAAGGTAGTGGTCATAGCAAATACCCTCTTCCAACAACACAAGAGAAGACTCTACACATGCACATCACCAGATGGCCAATACCAAAATCAGACTGGTTATATTCTTTGCAGCCAAAGATGGAGAAGTTCTATACAGTCAGCAAAAACAAGACTAGGAGCGGACTGTGGCTCAGATCATGAACTCCTTATTGCCAAATTCAGACTTAAATAGAAGAAAGTAGGGAAAACTACTAGACCATTCAGGTATGACCTAAATCAAATCCCTTATGATTGTACAGTAGAAGTGAGAAATAGATTTAAGGGACTGGATCCGATAGACAGAGTGCCTGAAGTACTATGGACACAGGTTTGTGACATTGTACAGGAGATAGGGAGCAAGACCATCTCCGAGAAAAAGAAATGCAAAAAAGCAAAATGGCTGTGTGAGGAGGTCTTACAAGTAGCTGTGACAAGAAGAGAAGCGAAAAGCATAGGAGAAAAGGAAAGATATACGCATCTGAATGCAGAGTTCCAAAGAATAGCAAGGAGAGATAAGAAAACCTTCCTCAGTGATCAGTGCAACGAAATAGAGGAAAACAATAGAATGGGAAAAACTAGAGATCACTTCAAGAAAATTAGAGATACCAAGGGAATATTTCGTGCAAAGATGGGCTCAATAAAGGACAGAAATGGTATGACCCTAACAGAAGCAGAAGATATTAAGAAGAAGTGTCAAGAATACACAGAAAAGAAAGAAAGTAAAGTCGCTCAGTCGTGTCTGACTTTGTGACCCTGTGGACTGTAGCCTACCAGGCTCCTCTGTCCCGGGATTCTCCAGGCCAAAATATGGAGTGGGTTGCCATTTCCTTTTCCAGGGAATCTTTCTGACCCAGGGATTGAACCTGGGTCTCCCACATTGCAGGTAGATGCTTTAACCTCTGAGGCACCAGGGAAGCAGAACTATACGAAAAAGATCTTCATGACCCAGATAATTATGATGGTGTGATCACTCACTTAGAGCCAGACATCCTGGAATGGGAAGTCAAGTAGGCCTTAGAAAGCAGCACTACGACCAAAGGTAGTGGAGGCGATAACATTCCCGTTGAGCTATTTCAAATCCTAAAAGATGATTCTGTGAAAGAGCTGCACTCAATATGCCAGCAAATTTGGAAAACTCAGTAGTGGCCACAGGACTGGAAAAGATCAGTTTTCATTCCAATCCCTAAGAAAGGCAATGCCAAAGAATGCTCAAACTACTGCACAATTGTACTCATCTCACAAGCCAGTAAAGTAATGCTCAGAATTCTCCAAGCCAGGCTTTAGCAATACATAAACCATGAACTTCCAGATGTTCAACCTGGTTTTAGAAAAGGCAGAGGAACCAGAGATCAAATTGCCAACATCCACTGGCTCATCAAAACAGCAAGAGAGTTCCAGAAAACATCTACTTCTGCTTTACTGACTATGCCAAAGCCTTTGACTGTGTGGATCACAATAAACTGTGGAAACTTCTGAAAGAGATGGGAATACCAGACTATGTGACCTGCCTCTTGAGAAATCTGTATACAGGTCAGGAAGCAACAGTTAGAACTGAACATGGAACAACAGACTGGTTCCACATAGGAAAAGGAGTGCATCAAGGCTGTATCTTGTCGCCCTGCTTATTTAACTTACATGCAGAGTACATCATGAGAAATGCTGGGCTGGAAGAAGCACAAGCTGGAATGTAGATTGCCTGGAGAAATATCAATAACCCCAGATATGCAGATGACACCACCCTTAAGGCAGAAAGAGAAGAAGAACTAAAGAGCCTATTGATGAAAGTGAAAGAGGAGAGTGAAAAAGTTGGCTTAAAGCTCAACATTCAGAAAACTAAGACCATGGCATCCGGTCCCATCACTTCATGGCAAATAGACGGGGAAACAGTGGAAACAGGGGCTGACTTTATTTTTCTGGGTTCCCAAATCAATGCAGATGGTGATTGCAGCCATGAAATTAAAAGATGCTTACTCCTTGGAAGGAAAGTTATAAGCAACCTAGACAGCATATTAAAATGCAGAGATGTTACACTACCAACAAAGGTCAGTCTAGACAAAGCTATGGTTTTTCCAGTAGTCATGTAAGGATGTAAGAGTTGGACTATAAAGAAAGCTGAGTGCCAAAAAATTGATGCTCCTGAACTGCGGTCTGGAGAGGGCTCTTGAGAGTCCCTTGGACTGTGAGGAGATCCAACCAGTCCATCCTAAAGGAGATCAGTCCTGGGTGTTCATTGGAAAGACTGATGTTGAAGCTGAAAGTCCAATATTTCATCCACCTGATGCAAAGAGATGACTCATTTGAAAAGACCCTGATGCTGGGAAAGATTGAAGCCAGGAGGAAAAGGGGATGACAGAGGATGAGATGGTTGGATGGCATCACCGACTCAATGGACATGACTTTGGGTAAACTCTGGGAGTTGGTTATGGACAGGGAGGCCTGGCATGCTGTGGTCCAAGGGGTTGCAAAAAGTCAGACACAACTGAATGATCTGAACTGAACTGAAGGCACCAGCAGTCTTAGCTAAAATTATATTTGCACAACCAGTAGAAGTTGTCAATGTGGTAAAAATGACAAATAAGCCTGGATATCATTATCATAGGAATTTTACCTCATGAATCTCTATAGAGCATCCTAGGGATCTGCAGGTGCCCACGTACTCCACTTTGAGAACTGCTGGTTTCATGAATATCCTTCACCTGCTCTGGTCAGAGTTGCTCTGTAGCTTTAAATTCACAAGTAATTTCCTTGGTTCTTAAGATAAAATCTAACATCATTCAAAAGCCTATCACTGGGCCCTTTTCCATATCTCCAGAGTCATGCCATGCTGGACCCTCCATGCATCAGTACAGTCTACTGACTCTGGTCTTGCTCAAATCTGAAAACGGACCAGAGCCGTTCCCACTGCAGAGGCACTCTGTATGCCGTGCTTTGTATTGTGTTGTTTTTTCCTTATTCTGCTCTTCATGAGTTACCTGACAAATTCCTACTCATTCTTCATGTCTCATACTTCAGATTGCTTCCCTGGGGAGACTGAAGGTGGTCTCAAGGAGCTTCCCAGGATACTCCCTGCCATCAGCATCTGTTACTTCTCCTCTGGAGCCCAGGGCCCATGTGTAAATACCTGATGACCTTACACCTACTTCTTTCATGGCAATGTCCTTGCTCCGGTGTGAGCTCTGTAAGGTCAGGGCCTCTGCCTCTCACACTCAAGACTCTCTCCACAAGGCCAGCAGATAAAGGAATGAACTGCACGACATCTTTCTATATGTAGTTTACAGCGTTAGGACATTGGGGAAAGTGTCAAAAGGAAGAGGAAGACACATGTCTTCAAATAAATGTCATGAGTAAAGTAAAGGTACATTTGTATTAAAGAAAATTATATACTTTAATGTTATAAATAGGACATGTAAATGCAAGGACCATAAAATAAGTCAATGTAAAACTGAATTACATTCATACAAAAACATGTTATTCCATAAGATTCAGCCACAAGACATCAGATATATTTCCTCTAATTCTAAAAGCAGTTGGATACGCTCAAACTTAGTTGAGCAATATGCTCAACCTTAGTGCCGATACAAAAATTCCCTCAAACTAGTTCATAGCTGAGGCAGAAATCAGAGTTTTGGAAATGACTGAACATGAAGAGTCTGAGCTAGGACACGAGTCACTGAGAATCAGGCTTTTTCTTACTTCCTGAGTTTTCTTAGGAGCCTGTTAACACAGAAAGCACCTCGTGATTTCCACTCTGACAGTTTCCCAGGCATAGTCACTGTATCCCTTCTTTCTCAGGTAGACATGGATTCCCTGGAAGTACCTCCTCACGGCCAGTGTGAAGCCCGTCCTTCCCAGGGCAGAGTCTTCCTCTCCCATCACCTGCCCCAGGCAGGCATCCAGGGCGTCCAGCTGCTGATGGAGTCCAGTGCGGAGCTGCTCCAGGAGGGTGGTGTCCCAGGCAGCAGAGGAGCGCTCTGTGTGGAAGAGGTTGAAGCTCTGCTGGAGCATCTCGTGGAGCACAGAGATGGCCTGGGCCTCCTGCAGCTGGCCGCCCTCCACCATCTCCTGAGGGAATCTGAAGACTCCCCTGTACCCCAGACAGGAAAGAGAGAGATTGTGCTTATTTGGTTCAAATGGGAAGGTCTCCTGCTTTTCCAAGTCAAGGCTCTGAGGCAGTCATGGACTCAGAGGAGGAGATGGGATTAGAGACGAGCATCATCAGTGTCATCATTGAAGAGATGAAGAACCATTGCTCAGTACCACAAGGACACATTCCTGTTGAGATGAGCGATTGCCAGCTTTGTTTCACCTTCATTTCATCTAAAGGTATCCTACAGTGTGCTTCTTAAATACTAAGCTCCCAAATTTCCATATTCTGAATTTACCCAGATCCATGTATCACCTCATTTTGGGCTTGCCTTTCACTTCAAAGGCCTAGAAAGCTGTCATGAGTTTCCACTCTTCTGTATCCTTACAGTCAAAGTAAAACGTATTCATTAAAAGAGTAGATTTTCTAATTCAATGGAATGCTTGTCATCTCAAGAACTTTGAACTAATGATATATTAAGAGTTACTGGATCTTTCTTTCTGATTCTACAATTAATTTTTAAGGAAACTTCATTAGACTTCTTTTTAATATCCTCTTTTGCCTGCCTCTCCATATTCCTCTTGAAAGAGCTGATCAGATGTAAAAGAAATTGAGGTTTACATGTGTGGACCTCACCTTATTCTCTGTGGCAAAACTTTTAATTTGTCAAATTTGCTTTTATTTTCTCTTCATAGTTGGGAAAATTACTCAGCACTCATTAAGTACCAATCAATGTGCTGAATTTGTTACAGAGTCCAAGTTGCTCTGCTTGCCACAAGATAAATTAATGAATCCAAGATGAGGTTTGGGGATAGGAAGGGACTTTATTCGGGAACGGGTGGACTGAAAAGATGGAAGACTAGAGCCTCAAAATAACCATCTTGTCTGGACCCGGATGTCAGCTTCTTTTATGAATCCGAGGTGAGGGGAGGTGAGGAAACAAAGCAAAAAGACCTTCACATTCCTGCAGATAACTCCCAGAATGGCAAGCAAGCCTCAGGTAGGGGGACGTGTTAGTTGCACTTCCTTATAGTCATTTCATGAGTGTGTGAAATAGAATATCTCATGTCATGAAAACACACAAAGATGTCACACCTATCTGATTCTGCCCTTCCCAAATGTGAATTTCTGGGCCGCCTGGTAAGTAGCCAAGTAGGCCGCCTGTGCCGTTGCCACACACAGAGTCACAGTCCTTCACAGGTGAGCGGTGTCAGGTTATCTCCCTGAGGCAGGCCATTAGGTATGTTTACAATAACACAGAGAGTAAAGTCACAGAAGCAGGTCCAGTGTAAATTCAAAAGTAACCCTCCCTGGTTACACACTAAGCCTATACCAAGATGATTAATCCTCCAAAGTCACTCTCGTGAAAATAAAGTATAACCGCCACTCCCGTCCAAGTGTGCAAGTGGTTAGAATGTGTCTTTGCTGCTTTTTGACCCCCTGTTTTAGCCCAGGCCATTGTCCTTGCCATGTCCAAGCAACCCACTTTTTCTCTGGTACTTTTGTATAATTTTCGTATTGCTACCGCTTCTTTGTATTTCAGTTTGTAAAAGCTGTGCTAATGCTCCTGCAATCATTTCTATTTCCACTTTGAGGTTTGCTGCAACAAAAAGGAACAGAAAACATAAATGAAAAGAAGAGGTAATGTATTTCCTCTGTGAATTTTCAAGAGATCAAAACTTTCCGCTCTCATCGAGCATTCCTGGAAAGAACAAATAAGCAGTTAATGAAAAAGTCATGCACAAAGGTAAAAGGAAAGTAAACGATGCAATTGACAAAACTATACTGACCCCTTCTATACTGACTGCCTTCCAAATGACAAAATGTCACTGAACTACACAAATGGGGATGAAGAGCTCCACAGAGTGACAGATTTCAGCCCAGCCCATGTGAGATTGTTTAGCTGCAGACAGAACCAGAGGAGGGTAGCAGGTTCTAGGCAGAGTGTTACCTAAGAGGCTAGTTGTCAATTTGCTAAATCCCAGTATCTATTTATTTATCTTTATTTGTCTGTTTACATTACTCACTCTTCATGGACGTTTTTGGATTCTGAGGATGTAAACCTATTAACTTGTGAAAAGAGACTGGGGTACAGACTGGATGGTCATTTTATTCACATGTGAGAGGTCAGCTGTTACCTGTGTTAGGTAGTTAGAATAGGGAAAAGGAGTCCAAAATGGCGGTGGCTAAAAGACCTGGAAGGGAAAAGCCCGAGAAAATAAAACAAGGAAGGTCCGAGGACTGGAGCCAGAACCTCAGGTAAAACAAACAACACTCCTGGCTGGCCTAATTTACACAAGACAGGCCCAGGGGCAGAGAAACATATAAAAGAGGAGGCAAAGCCCTCTTCTCTCTCTCTCTCTCCCACGCGATGGGGCGCTCTTTTCTTCTCGTCTTTGGGTCGACGTGCCCTCACACCTCAAAGACGGATTTTCCTGCTATTATCTAAATAAATAGAGCTGTAACACTGAACTGTAACACTGATTTATTTAAGAGCTGTAACACGGTCTGTCCAAGACCCGAGAGCTGTGACCCACTGAGGGGGCTTCAATGTCCATCACTCCAAATTTTTGTTGTGATGAGACGAAGAACCGAGGAACATACACTCGCCTGACATCTATGGTGCCGTGACTTGGGCTTAACCTGGCTGAAACAACTTCCACACGGAAGAGGCCAAGCGCAGCAGGAGCCCAACTCAGCGAAGCTCCTGAGGTAGAGGCGGAATGTGAAGAAAACCCAGCGCAGGGGAAGGCCCGTCGTGCTGGAAACTGGGGCAACGAAAAACGAACTCAGCAGAAAGCCCACGCGGCTCAGCCTCAGATTCCAGAAGACCTCCGGTTAAGGTAGGAGGTCCTCGCTCCTATGGCTGGAAGGACATGCCTAACAATTACAATCTCTCGTTTCTTGTTTCCTTGAACCCCCCACGAACAGGCGGGCGGCAGTGGGCTCAATTGAGGGGCTCTGGAGAGGCTACTCTTCGGTATGTCCCAAAGGCACTATCTGCTGGGCCCCAGTAGCGGTTACCCAATCTGGTGGGGGTTCTTCTGTCCCTACTCTTCTCTGTGCCCAGAATCAGGCCAATGAAAACTGTGAGCACCGGTCAGATACTTAGCAAATTTTCCAGCAGGCTATGAAGGGGATTCCTTGGCACGTTTTTCCCACTGCTTTTTCCTCTTTTCTTTCAGCTCTTTCTCCGGGACTCGAGCCCGACCAAAACCCAGGATGCCCGCCCGGCTCAGGCTCTGAGGTCTTATTGCAAAAATTAGTGAGAGACAAAGTGATAAGTGGGAGGTGGATTTGCTAAAATCCAAAAAGAAGCACCCATTCTACAGGGTATGGGCCGTGGAATGTAGCCTGACTAAGTTTTGCAAGCGGAGCGAATTCATATCCTAATGAACGGGAAGATCATCCCAGCTATTGGGGAACCACCCACTCCTCTCTCTTTTGACAGTGACTTGGAGCTGTTCTGCCACCTCTGGGTGTGTCTTTTGGCTTACAGATTGGGGATTAAGGTTTACTCAAATTTGACTTGTCATCTTGGACCCGATTGATTTTAATTGGTTTATGTTATGCCCTTGTGCTATATCAGTCTTTCAAAGATTGTGCTCTGACCCTCTTTCCCTCCTGTTTCATGCTCCTTTCCTCAGCCCCATCCAGGCCCACAATGTTGCCTCTACAATCTTCTAGAGGGATAACCAGAAAATAACTGGCTTTGGGAGGGAAGTACTGTATGATATCCAACCCCTTAGTCCTACCTAGCACTGGTCATGCTGGAGACCTTGGGGATGCCCAAACTCCAGCCCGGGGGTCCCAGGAGTTCATCACGCCTTGACCTGCCTAGGGATCTGGTCCTCCAAAGGTTGTCATGCCTCAACCTGCTTGGGGATCCGCTAGTCTCAAGGGTCCCAGGAGGTCATCGCTCCTCGACCTGCCCAGGGCCCAATCCTAGGGAGGCCATCATGCCTTGACCTGCCCGGGGATCTGTGTCATGCCTCAGCCTGCCTGGAGATCTGCATCCTGGCCCGGGGACGCCTGGCTCTCAGGTTGCGACAGTACTGGGTAGGATAAGCTTCAAAAAGCCTATTAGTCTTTTTCCTTTTCCTTTTCCTCCCTGTCATGACTGTCTTTCAGATGGGAAATAACCAATCCACTTCCTGGCAGATGCCCTTGAGATGCATCCTTGATAACTGGAAGCTGTTCGATCCTCTAACTCTGAGGAGGAGTCATTTAAAATTCTTTTGTGCCACTGCATGGGCATGGTATCCACTGAGGGACGAGGAACACTGGCCCGAGGATGGGACTTTAAATTACAATATCATCCTGCAATTAGAATTATTCTGCAAATGTCAAGGGAAGTGGACAGAGATCCCCTATGTCCAAATTTTCTTCAGACTGAGAGATATGAAGGAACTCTGTCTTAAGTATGGGACTATTGTATGCCCTAAAAGGGAGCCCACTAGGCAAATGGTGTTAGCCACAGGCAACCGAGAGAAGGAACCCCCCGTGAAGGCTCACCTCCTACAGCTCCCGAGTTGCCTGGTGTTTCTTCCTTGTGTCCAAGCATGCCCCCATATCCAGGAGCACCCCCTCCACAAAAGCCAGCTCTAGTATGTCCCTTAGTTGAAACTGGAGGGGAATTTGGACCAACCCGCATCCATAAACCCTTTTCCCTCTTAGAACTAAGACAGATCAAACAAGACCTGGGAAGCTATACAGATGACCCAGGCAAATATATAGATACGTTCCAACATATTACCTTGACCTTTGACTTGACGTGGAAGGACATCATGGTCATATTTAGTCAAACTTTATCTGACCCTGAACATACTAGGGTCTTAAAGGAAGCCCAGAGGTATGCAACAGGGCTTCACATGTCAAGTGATAGATACCCAGTAGGGGAAATTGCAGTCCCCTCCTCCGA